TTGTGGTGAGCCGAGATCACCCCATTGCACTCCAGCCTGGGCAACAAGAGCGACACTCAGTCTCAAGAAAAAAAAAAAAAAAAGAGAGAGAGAGAGAGACACTAAAAATTGAGGATAAGAGACTCAGTATGTGTGACTGCAGGTCAACGCTGGGGCAGGGCAGCATGGAGATGGCCTCCACATGTGAGCAGGAGATACAGTAGCTGTTCTCCCACCTCACTTGCTGGGGCTCTTGCAGCACTGGCAGTGCTTCTGGAAGCTGCCTGGCCATGACCTGCCTCTGCTACAGAGGACAGGTGTACAGCAAGCATCCCGCTGATAACATATGTCTGTACTTGAAGGATGACACCTGAACTCATGTCGCATTGTAGTATTTGCTCTCGGTCTGCCTCCCCATGTCCTGGACTATGATCCAGTCTGTGGAAGTGCCTGCATCACAATCACCCTTTTATCCCATCGTCTGACACATAGTTGCTTTTAAAATTTATTTAGTGGATTTGGGCAGGGCACAGTGGCTCATGCCTGACATCCCAGCACTTGGGGAAGCTGAGGCCGGCAGATCACTTGAAATCAGGAGTTCGCGATCAGCCTAGGCAACATGGTCAAACCCCGTCTCTACTAAAAACACAAAAATTAGCTGGGCATGTGTTGCATGCCTGTAGCCTCAGCTACTCAGGAGGCTGAGAGAGGAAAATCATTTGAATCCAGGAGGCGGAGGTTGGAGTGAGCCGAGATCACGCCACTGCACTCCAGCCTGGGTGACAGAGTAAGACACTGTCTCAAAAAAAATAAATAATAAATGTATTTAGTGGATTGCAGGTTTGATAACTGAAAATAGGGCAGCCCTTGTCTGCAGGAGGAATCAAAGAACAAGAGAAGCACCAGGGACCTGTAGGAGTGAAGCACTGGTGAGACTGTCCTGGAGAGCGATATGATCAGACGATTTTGGAGAAGATGAGTCTAGCAGCAGCATGTGGACAGGGGCAAGGTGGGAGGACTCTCCAGAAGGCTACTGCCAACACCAGTCAAGAAACACTCAGAGGGTGAATCAGACGGCAGCTCTGGGAAGAGGAAGATATGAGAAACCTTGGAAGGAAACATTAGTTGTAATACTGAGTAGACGCCTTCAATGATTCAACAAATACTCATTGCCTTCCAACCTTATATCAAGTACTAGGAACTGTCAGAGAGACTGCAACTCAAGAGGGAGAAAAAGCACACACACATGGTGCCTGCACCCAGTCTGCTGATAGGAGAGCCAGGAATGAATGAAATAACCACAAACAATTTATAATTAATAGCTATGAGAGATAGCATGCAGAAACATTGCATGGTCCTGGGCCGGGGGCGGTGGCTTACGCCTATAAACCCAGCACTTTGGGAGGCCGAGTCGGGTGGATCCCAAGGTTAAGAGATCGAGATCATCCTGGTCAACATGGTGAAACCCTGTCTCTACTAAATATACAAAAATTTGCTGGGCATGGTGGTGCACACCGGTAGTCCCAGCTACTCGGGAGGCTGAGGCAGGAGAATTGCTTGAACCCAAGAGGCGGAGGTTGCGGTGAACCGAGATTGTGCCATTGCACTCCAGCCTGGGTAACAAGAGCGAAACTCCGTCTCAAAAAAAAAAAAAAAAAAAAAACAAAAAAAAAAAAAAAAAAAAAAAAAAAACAGAGAAACATTGTATAGTCCTATAAGAACCTACAAGAGCAGACTTCCCTAGTCAAGGAAGTTCAGCCACTCCAAGAACCCTGGGGTCCCTCCCTTGCCAACCTGGTGAAGAGGAAGTGAATCAACACCTTTCTACACCCTTGGGAATGTATGTACTTGAAACTCAAGAACAAATAAGATTCCATTGTCTAGTGTATCTCTAACCAATCAACTGTCTCTTAAATACACCACTGGTCACAGGAGGAGCCAGAGAGAGGAGACGCTGCTGTGCTGCCCTGCCGCGATCCCTCTCTGCTGCAGAGGATATATGTAGAGCAAGCATCCCACTGATAACACATTTCTGTACATGAAGGATGGTACCTGAATTACCGCCCAAACCATTTTGCTTCAATGATGCCTCCTTTTGCTGTTAGGAGGAGAACTGAGATTAGGCTATCAGGCATAGACTTGATTAAACAAATGCATTCATTTCAGGTTTCTGAATGAAAGTTTCAGAAGAAGCTCATAATAATAAAAAAGAATGAGTTCAAGTGAAAATGTCCATAGTTGTGATACTTATTTTTAATTTTAGGAGTCAGTGTGAGATGGTGTGGCAGATTCAAATCATAATGTACAGTGTCAGCTGTTTCAATGTAATCAATTTGGTTCTTACAGAACTTACGTTGACAGTGTGGGGCTGTCACCTGGCAATCACAAAGCATTTTAGAAAGTTCACTGTGAATGTATTCTCAAGGGGAAATGCATCAAAATGGACATTTTCCAAACCTTTTTGTTGTGGTAGTTAATATGCTAAGGGAAGGGAAATAAAAGAGCTATTTTAAATCCTCTGAAATACCCACTAGGTATTTCTCAAAAAGGTAAAAAGACCGCATTTCACTTGGATATTTTATTTCATGTCAAATGATCCTCTCCTTTCTAATCAGACTTACATCAGCAAGAAGTCCCATAAACACATCAGGAGAGTAAGTTTAATGAGGCTTATGAGAAACAAAGGAATCTGTTTTTATAGCAGGTGTTTAGGAAGTACATACTATGAAGACTCAACAGACTCCTAGACTGACAAGTGGAAATTGGAGAATGATCTTTGCTAAAAATAATGAAAAAATTTCTCAAGTCAAACTTCTCCAAAGTTGGAGGTGGAAGTCGCATGCTCAGAAGATTGTAGGTTTCCACCAGTGTTGATGAGAGTGCTGGACTTTAATTAACCATCTAATACAAGAGATTCAAGCCTCAAATGATGAGTTGCCATAAACAGCCTAAAATGCTGCTTTAAGCACCAAGCACCTGGAATACCTTGGGCTGGGTAGTATGCCAGGTGCTTCAAAGACCCCTCTTACCTGTTGGAGAATATCCACATGCCCCAAGTGATGGTGGAACTCAGAAAGTTCAAGAGTAGTCCCATGATATTGACTAGAAGGATTTCAGAATGTGTGGGGGGAAAAAAAACAAATATAGTAAATAGAAAGTGCTTCACTTGTAATCCCAGCACTTTGGGAGGCCAAAGCAGGTGGATCATGAGGTCAAATGATTGAGACCATCCTGGTCAACATGGTGAAACCTGTCTCTACTAAAAAGACAAAAATTAGCTGGGCGTGGTGGTGTGTGCCTGTAGTCCCAGCTACTCCAGAGGCTGAGACAAGAGAATCACTTGAACCTGGGAGGCAGAGATCTCACC